CTGTTGAGCATTAAGCAGAGTAATGAGGAGGATAAGGATAGAGCCAGTCAGATTTCTAAATCTAAATAGGACTAGTCTGGAATTCAATTTTGTATTGAGCATTACATACTGGGCACTCTGATTTATTCTGAAGGGATAATGTTATCAGAGATGAATCAGATGTTGCCTTCTTGTCCTCAAGAACCTTCTATAATTTTTTTTTCCTCACCCAAGGATATGTTTTTCTTAATTGTCGGAGAAGCATTGATGTGAGAGAGAGAGAGACCCATAGGTTGCTATTCGCATGCACCCTGACTGGGGATGAAACCCACAACCTTTAGGTATATGGTTTGACGTTCCAACCAACTGACCCATCTGGCCAGGGCAAGAACCTTTTAATAATAAGAGAAGACAGACATGTAAACAACTAGCTGAATAACACAAGTTCTAATCAGCAATATTTGTACGTGGTTGCTGAAAGGGAGAAGCAATTGATGTGACTGAGGGATCAGTCAGAGAAGCAGAAAAAGTATTTGCCTGAGCAAATTTAGACAAGGAGTGAGATCCCATTTGACAAAGTATGACCAAGACTCTTTCTCAGAAAGTGGTTTGTAAATGAAAAGATTCGAGTGACTCTGAGGGAGAGTACAACTACATACAGTTAGTAGAACAAAGAGACACAGCTAACAGAATTTCATGTCTCCTGACTCTCATGCTTTTAAATAAGGCATTTGAAGGGATAAGATTTTTGAAAATGGGTAAGCAGAAAGAAACTGAAAATAGCAGAAACTTAAAAAGGAGAATAATGATTTAATGAAGAAAAAGGCAATAAAATTACTTTGGATTAATTTGATAAAGAAAATAGTGATAGACATCAAAAATATCTTAATTGCTAACATAAGATAAAGAATGAATATTTTAATAAACTTAGGTAAACATTAACCATATTTAACTGCAGTTCAGATTGAAGCAGTAGTTCCGCATTGTCTGATTTCAGATCTGTAAGCCCTGAATAAGGACTTCAGAGCTGTTGCACTTGATATTCAGTGTCACTGCTTTTTTTTAGGTTCATTTTGCCCGTGAGTATTTGGATTTGTGAAAGAATGTACTATTCATACAGATCAGTAATTGCAATGTTTGTCTGTTTCTTTTAGTGTCGTCTGTCCAAAATTGAGGAATGTACTCACTCCAAAATATTTTACTGCATTTTTTGGTTTTGTTAAATAAATCAATAAAAAATTGATGTTCATTTTCCTAGGAATTACTATAGTAAAGATTAATTTAGTAAAATGTAAGTTCACACTAAAATTTATATTTTATGAACGTTGCCTGGCCAATGTGGCTCAGTGGTTGAGCATTGACCTATGAACCAGGAAGTCACTGTTCAGTTCTCAATCTGGGCACATGCCTGGATTGTGGGCTTGATCCCCAGTAAGGGATGTGCAGGAGGCACCCAATCAATGATTCTCTCTCATCATGATGTTTCTATCTCTCTTTCCCTCTCCCTTCCTCTCTGAAATCAATTAAAAAAAATTTTTTAAGTTGCCAATTGCTCTTAATTGAATTTAAGAAGTTGAACATGTAGAAAGTCAGGCTGTGGCTAAAAGTCTTTGCCAGAGATTTTTTCTAATACAAAGAAATGTCAATGGATGATATAAATGTTTTTTAATTTAAATTTATACTCAAGGTATAGATCTCCCTTAGTTTAATCTTTAAAAGACTTGAAGAAGGATATAATACATAAAAAAGGATAGATTCAAGGCTTTTTTCTTGTAACAGCTTTTTGCTCCACTCCATGTTATATATTTCTATGTCATTCTGCCTACTATTAATGAAATAGACATTCTCATTCTTTTTATTAAAATATATCAAACCATTTTAATGTATTGGCACACAGTACCCTGCTAGGATCTTGCTTTAAAATTATATACTGTGCCGTTAATATTCCCATAATGGTAACTAAATCACTCATCTGGCCGTTAAGGTTTACTTTAAATTTTGTTTTAATGTGCATAAAAGATTCTCATTGTCATTGATCTTCTTTTTATGTTACTCTTCTGTTTATCAGATTTAAAAGTATGTTATGAGGACTTTATTTTTTAAAAAATGGGGGCTTTATTCTTTTGTTTCTTCCTGTGGAAAATATTCGAAGTGCAGAGATGTATTAGTCTGTGACATGCCAGGCATCATTACTTTGCATTAGCAAGGCCTAAGTTTGATTATTGCTATTCAAAGCCATAAATAACAGGGAGTTGAAGGAAAATGGCAAAGATGAATAAGAGATGGAAAATAAGCCTTTTAAGAAAGAATTAGATTTGTGTAGCTTTAAAAGGAGGAGGAGGAGGGTACAATGTAAATAACACTCACTGGATTGAGATGCTGGTTTCAAGGCCTGGTTCTACCAAAGGGACTCACTTTAGACAGGCCACTGTTACTGTCTCTTAATCTGTAAAATGAGGGGACTTGTTTAGATTGGAATCAACAGATTTTTTTACTAAAAGACCAGCTAGTATTTTAGGCTTTGCAAGCCAAGTGTCTTCTGCCACAACGACTCAATTCTGTTGTAAATGAATACTTAAACAGGCAAGGCTGTATATATTCCAATAACACTTGACTTACAAAGATAGGCAGCAAGCCAGATTTCATCCACTGGCCTTAATTTGCTGACCTCTAGACTGGATGACCTTTAAGATTTCTTTTACATCTGCATGCTGTGATAATTCTTTATTATAAACATCATAGAAAGGGATTGCTGGTCATTTATTTTCTATGATATACCAGTCAGAGGCTAGCCAGGAGATAGAAGCCGCATAGGTATTTTAACAGAAAATTTGACATGAGAACAATTGTTAACTAGATTTTAAATCACTGAAAGGGTAATTTACTGAGGTATCATGGATTTAGCAACTGCAGGAAGCAGCTACCACCTCTGAGCCTGTGAAACAGGAAAAGAGGTTGAGATTGTTAAACCGTAGAAGATTGGAGGAATGACCCCACAAAGTTAAAACTCATATCTCTGTGAACTGGCGCCTGCTCAACTGATGCTAATATTTCTGAGCTCCAAGGAAGGCTCTGTACAGACGGAACCTCTGAGGGCTCCCTTTAATGGATAAAGAGCCAAAAAAAGAAAGTAGACTTTAGGTAAAGCAGGAGGGATTGTATTAAACATAAGAACTAATTCATAGATACAGTGGGAATGGTGTAAGAGTCATTGTCCCCAGTGTTTTTCAGTAAAAGATTAGATAGTTATCTACTCTAGATAGTTTTAATTTCAGAATGCTGAGAACCAGATTATCTTTATTCCTCTGATACTCTCGTCCTCCCTCTGGGGAGTAATGTGGCATTTGACTTCCCTTTCTTGGTGCAAGTTCCCGAGACTAGTTTTCAAAGACCTTTATTTTTTTTATAGAAACTGTATCATAACTTGGTAAGTCTTTTGTCTGAGTTTCCAACAGACCTAGGTAACCAAGACAATTATAGTAATTGAAGGATGAGGGGGAATATTTATCTCTTGCACTTGTTCTATTTTTTTCTCTTCTTCCTTCTCTCCTGTTTTCTTTTTTCTCTCTCTCTTAGCTCATAGAGCTCTGTGTAAATTTTTTTGTGCCACTGTTCATAATTCACCTTATGTTATCGTTGTTTGTGTCTTATTTTGATTGGGGATATAGACAATAATACTTCATTGGATCTCAGAAGCCAAGAAGTGATTTCACTTTGCTTCTTCTCACCCATTCAAAACAGTTGGTTAATTGCTATTCAAAGCCATAAATAACAGGGAGTTGAAGGAAAATGGCAAAGATGAATAAGAGATGGAAAATAAGCCTTTATCAGAGGTAAACTGGCAACTAAGCCAAGGAGGGCACCAAGAACAGTGCCTGGCATATGGTAGGGTCTCAGTAAGTAACTGTCATTGAATGACTGAACCCACCCCGGCACAGATCTTACATAGCAACAAATTGAATTAATGGTTTAATTAAAAATTTATAAGCTCTAAATAACTGTTTGAGAGTTTTTCCCCTTTTTGTTAAAAACTATTCTGTCTCAGTGCTTTCTGGTTCTTGGTTTCTTCATTTTTTGGATCATTTTAAGTGGACCCAACAGCTCTCAATACTCGGCAGTGTCAATCCCATTTACTTTCTCTTTTGTGGCTGTGTTAGGAGTTAAAGGATTTATACGTGGAATGGGAGGACCTTAATACTTGATTATCTTGAGATAGCAACAGAATGTTTTTGGAATTCATGGATATTGGCAGTTTCCTAAATACTATTTAGCAGTTCTCTATCCATTGTCTCAGGTTCCCACCTTTCCAGTACATACACACACACACACACACACACACACACACACACACACACAAATTGGTTTCATATTTGATTCTTTTTTTAAAATACATTTTTATTGATATCGGAGAGGAAGGGAGAGGGAGATAGAGATAGAAACATCAATGATGAAAGAGAATCATTGATCGGCTGCCTTCTGCACACCCCCTTCTGGGGATCAGGCTGCAACCCTAGCATGTGCCCTTGACTGGAATCGAACCCGGGACCCTCCTGTCCGCAGGCCAACACTCTATCCACTGAGCCAAACCAGCTAGGGACATATTTAATTATCATGAAAGAAAAGTGTGGAAAATAAAATGTCATGTTTTTCTTATAACTCAATATAATTTGAAACAAGGTTTCTTGATTGATGATGTTTATATCTTATTCTGTAATGGGATTTGTGACCTCAAAAGAAACAAAAACTAATAATCTTTGTTATCAGGTACTAAGGTTTGCCAGCTTGTTGCTAGTATTCTCCATAAGCTCAAGCAGTTGATAGTGATGAAGGAGCTGAAGACAACTGTTGACATGTTTCCCTGGCCCATATTCTAGACATTGATGAGGATTTTGAATTCAGCAAACAGTTGGTAAATGTATCTGCTGGAGTAAGCTCTGATTCCAACGTTTGGGAGATACAGACTAACTGAAAGTAAGTTTTTAAAACTTAAGTATTCTGACTAAACTCTTCTGTCTTGTCAGCCACAAGTTCTGCCCACTTGGAGGACCTGGCTTACCTGGATGAGCAGAGACATACACCTTTGAGAACTTCTCTTCGAATGCCAAGACAGAGCATGGGTGGTGTTCGCACACAACAGGATTTAAGAGGTTAGAACCACAGGATTACTTTATCTGGGGATGCTCATGGGAAAATAGAAATGGACAATAGGCAAAAAGTTCCTTTGTTACCAATTTCTACACTTATTTAAAACTATCTTAAGAAGTGAACATATCACCGTAGAAGAGAAATACAAATACATTGCACAACGGAATTGTAATTACCTACTTATAGAAGTGTTGGCATTGATTCCTTGAAATTCTGAAAGGGCTGGTAGTGATGAGGGAAATAATCTAATAATAATTTAAGAGCCTTGAATTTCCTAAGTGATTGTTGACCAGATTCAATCCTAGCCATTTTCAGCATGAACTTGGTGCTGATAATGGTGTTTTGCTAGAGAATTTATTTCATGTTCATTCTAGTGGCCATTTCTAGTGACATGTAGTACTTTTAATTTCTTGGAGTTTTAGACAGGGCTTCTAGTCCTGTCCTGGCAACATCTAAACTTATCCGTTTCCCACTCAGGTACCTGTTTACACTCTCTGTGCATGCTTCTTGTTTCTACAATCAGGATCCTGATCTTTTTAAAGACTTTCATTTTGTTATAACCACGGGCTAGTTGAGAGATTGTTATTGGTATCTCTGCTTGTGCCTCTTGTTTGCTCAAAGTGATCTGAACTGTCTTTGATAGCCCTAACAGATGGTCTGCTTTCTCTAGTACCTAGTAGTAATCCATAGCTCTATTACATCAAGTATATTTTTAATGTTCTTTTGCAGATTATTTTCATCTTGCTTTTGTTCTCCTTCTTAACCCTTGTCCTGTGCCCCATTCTAAATCCGTATGTTGCCAAAATGCATAACTTACACCAAAAAAAGGATCATACATACCTGCTGTCCATTCTGAAAGTCATTATACTGACAGTTTTTCAATGATGAGTAGGCAACTGAAAGCATCAAATGATTGTATTGCAACAATTATTGTACCTCTCATCAACAATAGTGAATTGATGGCCTTAGTCATTCTAGTAATCATAGTTTTATTTTTAATTCTATCCATCCTGCTTGCCATTTCTTCAGTTAGCCACATACTAGTTGCTTGGTATGTGCAGTAGTGTATTTCTAGCCCAAAAAGTGGTATTGTGTCAAATAATACTTCAGTGCTGGTAAGTTGATTCTGTCCAAAGCCTGAATAAATTTAGTCAGAAAACTAAATAAATGATTTGTTCCAAGGCCAGATGCATAGAAATACTAAAGAAGATTGGACACAAATATTGATCTACTAGAGGCCCAGTACACAAAATTGTGTGCAGATATGGTCCCTAGGCCTGGCCTGTGATCAGGGCCATCTTCCCCAGCTGCCGGCAGCCGGCCCCGCCCCCCGCCACCACCCATTCCCGGTTCCCCATTCACCATTGGGGGATTGGAGCCTGCTGGCCCAGGGGAGGGACCGAGAGGTGAGAGGTGTGCCTCATAGTGACTGGTTGAGTAGTCGTTCTGGTTGTTCCGCCGTTCAGTCAATTTGCATATTGCTCTTTTATATATATATAGATATAGACATTCAGATTTGGTTAAAATCTGCCACATTGGCATCACCATGTATCTCACTTCTGTAAAACAAACTGACATTCTTGATTTTCTTTTCTGCTTTGCTAGTCAATGAATAATGAATTTCATACTATACTAGAGGCCCAATGCACGAAATTCATGCATGGAGGCGGGGGTGTCCCTCAGCCCGACCTGTACCCTCTCACAATCTGGGACCCCTTGGAGGATGTCCGATTGCCAGTTTAGGCCCGATCCCTGCATTAGACCTAAACTGGCAGTCAGACATCCCTCTCGCAATCTGGGACTGCTGCCTCCTAACCGCTCACCTGCCTGCCTGATTGCCCCTAACTGCTCACCTGCCTGCCTGATTGCCCCTAACTGCTCACCTGCCTGCCTGATCGCCCCTAACCACTCGCCTGCCTGCCTGATGCCCCTATCTGCTCATCTGCCTGCCTGATCACCCCTAACCGCCTCTGACTCGGCCCCCGCCATGGCGGCTTCATCCAGAAGGACTTCCGGAAGGTTGTTCGGCTGTCCAGTCTAATTAGCATGTTACACTTTTATTATTATAGATAGAAAGCAAAATTAACTGACAGGTTTTAACTGTGTGCTTTTGTGAGCTCTTCATACTGGGTTCTAGTGATACTTGATGGGACATTTCTGCTTCTAGTATCTAAAGATTTTTAAGAGCTCTGACAGATACATTTTACTGAGCTTGATGTTTACATACAGATATCAGTTGTATCTAGAATACAACAAAAAATCTTTTTCATTGCATTGAGCTTCAGCCTGAACATTCAGTAAAACCAAAGTACATACAAAGATTTTTTTTCAAAGCATGCCTAAGTCTTTAGGAATCTCTGCTTAAATAATACATCCCTTAACAAAACTAATTTTATACTCTTACAGATGGTATCTCAACTTATTGTTTACATTAACACTTAGAGATGGAATTTGTTCACTGATAATGGTACTATAATATTAGAATTTCAGTTCCTTAAAGTTGTCTTTTCTTTCAAAAGGTTTTCTTTTTGCAGTCTAAATGGTTAGTACATGCCATCCAGATGAATGCATTAATCCATAAGTTACTGGATGTTTACTAAGCAGTATTTTGCCTTCTAAAATAAGCATACTTTAATTTAGAACTTTGAGGCCCTGGACAAAATTGTTCCTCAAAGGGTAACATGTTATCTTGATTACTATTTACAAATGTACTCTATAGCTTATGAAATGACTTAAAACACATTAACAAGAAAGGAAAGCAAACTTGGACACACTTTCCTCATGTTTCCATAGACCTGCTTGGCAAACTTTCATAATTTTTTATCATTATATCCAAAACATTGCACTTTATTGTAAAAATGAATCATATTGCTTTCCTAGCATAATTTTTTAAAAACATGTTACATTATTCTTTCTAATTTTGTTTAAAGGGACATGCAAATTACAGTCATTGTTCAGTTTTATATCTTTTTCTTCTTCAGGTTATGGTTAGAGTAAAACAACTTTACCCAGAAAAAAATAGTATAGTAAAGTGATTAAAAACCTTTTTTTTTAGTATAAATTAAAATGTATCTTTCTACATTGAGGTATATCTTTCTATATTTTGAAATATTACTCAAACAAATCATGATACAGTTTTTAAACCAGAGTTCTGGTTTAAATGACCCTGGATCCTCACAGAAGGTAGTTAATGGTCACATACACTGTAGTGTATCCAGTAGGTACTAAATTTACTGATTCCAAGTATAGAGATTATCTGAAATAATATTCCTTGAATATATATCTAAAGAGGTGGCAAGGATTTATTTGGTGCTTCATACAGGCAGTCTTGCACTATTCTGTTTAGAGCAGTGATTCTCAAACTCTTTTGGTTCCAGGACCCCTCTACACACTTTAGGAAGTATTGAGGACCATAAAACGCCTGTATGTATGAGTTATGTCTATTGATATTTACCATATTAGAAATTAAAACAGAATTTTTAAAAATATCTTTTTTTAAAAAAAAAACAATAGTAAACCCATTGTGTGTTAACATCAGGTAAGCTATGGAAAATTTCACCATACACTATCAGAGAATGAGAATGGAAAAAGACAAAGGATGTCTTAGCATTATGCACATAGTTTTGACTTTTTGAACCCCCTGAAAGTATCTTGAGAATACTCAGTGGTCCCCAGATCACATTTCAAGAACCATCGATGCAGAGGTTATCATTTTAATTGAAGGTAAGCTTTATGCTTTAGGGACCATTCAGTCTGTTTACAGAATGCAAAAAAGTGCAATTTGCAAATTAGTTAGAAGTTGATCAGGAATGTGGTTTAAGAGTACAGGCATTGTTCATTTAATAATTACCTTAATAGTCACTGCAATTGTTTGATCATAATGGTAGTCTTTTGACTGCTGAAACAGAAATTTCTGGGGTAACATCTGAGCTAGAATTTGGGTGTTCAAGTGGGGTATTAACATTTACTTCATTAGTAAAATTTCTATACTTCTTAAGATAGCTGTTTTGAACAGTTGTTCTACCAAAATTGATGTTTCTAGGGACCTGGCCCGACAAAGGAGACAAGGTCACATAAGTGCACTGTCCTGGATCCTATTGCAACAAGATGTGAGATTCCTAGCTGTGAATCACCTACGGGCTTGAGCTTTAATGATAGTTACGGAAGATAGTGCGAGTATACAACTGGCTAAACTTCTGCAAGTGCCTTTTCTAGTCCCAGAGCCTAATGTCCTTGACAGATAGTAATTTGAAACCTTATTAAATTTTTAACTTCCGTTTTTAAAATTGGGGATTCATTTTTAAAATGTAATCATCATTGTGTTAATGTGGAGTTATGCTAGAAATTATCCACCTGAAACCTCTCATTGTTTCTGACCATCTTAATGGCATCTCTATTCCACAGAGAAAGACAAACTAATTTTGCTGCCTAGTAAAAGGAGAGGAGAGATTGTGGGCTTTCATGGACAAATACTATTATAATAAACCTTATGATAGAATATGTAAAGGAAAGCAGGGAGAGTTAAAATACACAAAACAAAATATAGTATAATGACTTTGAATATGAACTACTTGGGGTAAATTAGCAACAAATTATTAATGATAAGTCTCTAACCTTCCTGATATTAAATCATAATCACTATTCTGCTTGAAGAGATTACACAATCCTAATTAAAACTTATTTCTCAAAATATGTTGCTTCCTTAGGACTTTTACTAAATCCCATTATATAAATGGCCATTCATAGGCACTGGGTTTAGTTAGGTGCTTTAATAGATTCTAGATTGGAGGGCATAATTGCAAATGGTATTCCAACTCATTGGCAGAATTTATGTGAAATTGACCCTGCCACAGTTAACTTGGCTTTATCTAAGCAAATAATTCAATTTTTATCTAATAAAATTAGTGCTTCACACCATTTTTTAGTCCCTTACTTTTCCAAAACAATGAATCCTTTATGAAGATGACTAAGATGCATGTCATGAAGCTAATACTCTTGCAAT